TCTAAAGTGAGCTCTGGAGTTGTTGTGAGGTGACGTCAAGTCCGACGCCAACTCACAGTGACCCGGCGCTGTGCCATCGTCACAATTGTCATGTTTGAGCCTTTTGTTGCTGCCACTGTGTCGATCCATCAAGTTGGGGGTCTTCCTTTTCTGCTGCTGACCTCCACTGTACCAAGCAGAGATGGGGCCCTCCTGATAGCGAGTCCAGACAACAAGAGATGATGTTTCACCATCTGGCTGTCCTTCTTCCAAGCCAGATTGATTTGTTCTTCAGGAAGTAAGAATCAATATCGTTCTCCAGCACTGGGATTCAAATGCATTAATTCTTCTCCGTGGTCTTCCTGACTCATTGTTCAACTTTCATGTGCATATGAGATAATTGAAAATACCATGGCTTGGGTCAGGCACACTTTAGTCCTCAAACTGACATCTTTGCTCTTGAACACTTTGAAGAGGTCTTTTGTGTCAGATATTTGATTTCTTGATGACTATTACTTCCATGAGTGTTGATTGTAGATCCCCCCAAAATAAAGTTTTTGACAACTTCAGTCATTTCTCCATTCATCATGATGTTATTTGTTGGTCCAATTGTGAGGATTTTTGTTTTGTGTCCATTTAGGTGTAATTCCATACTGAAGGCTGTAGTGATGAAGATGGAGTTCTTAGTGTTCTGTATATATCCTTGGTACTAGAACCTTATTAGAGTCCTGGTGTGGCTTTGTAGGATAAGTGCTGGACTGCTAACCACAAGTTTGGTGATTCAAACCCATCAGCCACTCCTCAGAAACTCTATAGAGGGTCAGTATGAGTTGGAACTGACTCCATGGCATGTGACAATGATATAGCACACCCTTATTAGGTACATAATTTGCAAAGATTTTTTCTCTTCTTTATCAGCTTTTTGATAGTGTCCTTTGAGGCACAAGGACCTCAGTGTGGTGAGGCCAGTTTGTCTCTCTGTCTTCTTTTACATTGGTGGTTTGTGCTTTGGGAGTCATCTCTAAGAAGCCATCCAAATCCAAGGTCATGAAGATTTGCTCCTGTGTTTTCTTCTAAGAGTTGTATGAGTTAAGTCTTTCAGATGTGTGGCCAGTGTGGGATTCCTCTGTCTCTACAGTATTAGGTAGGATTCCAGGTCCAGTTTAGGGCATGTGGTGGACATCCAGGTGCTTCAGTGTCTCCTATGGAATGACCTTGGCACCCTTGTTGAGAATCAGTGGACCCTCAGTTCTGTTGACTTGAGCTCTATGTCTGTCCTTATACCACTACCACAGTGTCTTGGTTACTGTAACTGTCAATTAAAAAATAAGTTCTGATCTGTGTCTTCAACACACTGAGCGTTGAAGAGAGTCATGTGAAAGTACAAGCGATAGCACTCACCAGAGGAATGACCAGTAACTGCTTCTCTGGCCACTCCAACTCCTTACTACAACCAATGAAAGTGTTTATTGGGTTTCTGCTCTGTGCTAGGTTCTGAAATCATTGTCTTATTTAATCCTTGTAAAATGGTGTCACAGGTGATAAAATGGAGCCAGATAAAGAAGAGTGTACTGTGTGCTCCAAGGGAAGGAAAGATAAAGAATAGCTCGTGGATTTTAACAAACAGAGTTTAGAATTAGACTGAAAAATAGTAGCATTTGGACAAGAAGGGATGGGGCTTTGGAGCACTTACCCCCAGAAGAAACGGTATCTGAGATCTGTACCATCTTGAAGAGTCAAAGGGATTTGGGGAGGTGCGGTGGTGATGGTTGGTACTCATTCATGTGGGAGTGACTTACATTTGTTTGGTACAAAAACAAAAAGCAAAGGGAAAGTTGGATGAGAAAAGATAACATGGGGGATAATGCAAGTTGCCCAAAGCCCCATTGCTCCCCATGGATTGAGAGTAAATGAGGAATGGGAAGGACATGGGAACTGGTTAGGAAAAGAAATAGAGGAAGTGTTCTTTGATGAATTAGAAATTGGGGGTTGAAGTTAGGAACTAGAAAAGAATAGAGTAAGTATGAAGAAGAATATGACATGGTGCTAACAATAAGTCTCATTAAACAGACAGTACTTTGAAAATCTAGGCAGGGCTCAGTTTCATAATTGATAATGGCACCAACTGATCTCCATTTATTCTTTTTCTCCAGTAATGTGTGGTAATCTGAATGAAAGGATGGATTATGTGTGTCCTGAAAATTGGGATTTAAAAACAAATCAAGTATGAACCAGAGAATGTAAGATGCTACCAAACGTACTGTTGAGACAGGCGCCACAAAGCATGGTTAGAAAAGCAGCAAAGGCTCCCAAAGGAGAAAGTGGCTGAGGGTCCCATGCTAACCCTGAGCAGATTCATGTGGGAGTGAGATGGATGAGTGGGTGAGCACAGTGCTGTGGGAGGGTCCACATTACAACCTGAGCTTCACTGGAAACTGTTTGCAAAGAAGGGTGGGGTGGCTGTCTCTAAGTCTTGAAGGTAAAGTAAAAAGAAATGCCCTTGGAGATGAGAGACTTGAGAACTGTGAGGCAGGAGTGATCAAAGTGTAGACAGCATCCCCATGCAACGCAGCAAGGATCCGGGGCACACCAGGTAGGCAGAAGCCTTGATAGATTGCAGCCATGATAGAGAGGTGGAGCAAGGAGATGTTTTGTGCTTTAGGAAAAGAAGCGCTGTTGGTAAATGTGGTGAAATAACTCGTTTGTAATCCACAGCAGAAGGAACTGTGTATTCTCAAAAATCAAGCCCAGCGTTTAGATAAGATAATGTTGTAGAGTACCTTCAAGTGTGGTCTGACTCACAACAACCCTGTATGGAGTTTCCCCGTGCGGCGGCTGTGGGTTTGAACCTCTGGCTTTGTGGTTAGCAGTCCAGTGCATCATTTGGAAAATGGGTTGTTTTTACTCACGGACTTGCCCAAGGCTGACTTTGTAGAAATTGAACCTGCCTGAATGATACACAGTAAGTAGGGGTGCTCACTTCAGAAGACCCCTGTGTGTGTATAAGCCCCCAGGAGTAGGGATTCTGTTGGTCTGCTTTATTTTTGTGTTCTGAGCCCCAAACAGTGCCAGGCATAAATGTATGCTCAAAGCATACATACTGAGAGATTGCAGCTCAGTGAATGGATCAGGTTGCAAAAATCTCCCAACATGCTTGGTCCTTGGAGCTAACTTGAGCTACAGATGATGAGAAGGTGGCTTAATGTGCTAATAAAGCCCTGATGTACTCTGAAACATTTTGGAGTCCGTTGGAAAGAAATACAAAACATTTGATGTGACTTACACCCCTTCACCCAAAGCTCATTTTGTTCTCCTGGCTTTTTTTTTTTTTGCTTCTTTCCCCAAATTACATGGTCAGACATAGCCCAGCTGGGCCCACAGCCTTTACTAAGCTGAAATTTCCCTTTCTGCTGCTTCCACCTTTGGTGACTCTCCCAGGTTCTGGAGGTGTAGCCTGGCACGCTTACTCACCACAGTCTGGTGTGGCCTACCTTTCGGGTCATTGTGTTTTTTGGTTTCCCCATTTTTCAACTCTTAACTTAAATTCCACAAACATCTCAAGTCTTCTCTAAGGTCCAGCTACACCAGTCTGTAGTTTTTCTTCCAAGTATTGAGTCTTCCCACCCTCTTTGATGTGTCACAGAATTTCTCCTCCCCACAAAAGTCAAATGTCAACCTTCCAAGGTCCCCCCGGCCCCTTCTCCATTCTCGCCTTGTATCAGGAAGGTTCTTTCGTTATTGTTTATTGATAGTGCTTGCACTATCTGCCTCTCCGTAGCCCAGTGGTACACTCTTTGCCTCCTCAGGTTCTCCAGTGCAGCACTCCACAAATGTTTGTAGTGTTAACATTGTTTGAGATGGTGAGGAGAGATTCCTGGTGTGGTGCTGTAGGACCAATGCTGGACTGCAAACCACACTGTTGGCAGTTCAAACTCACCAGCTGCTCCTTGGAAACCTATACAGCGTCGCTATGAGTCAAAACTGACTCAATGGCTCTTAGCAACAACAGCAGGGAGAAATAGTGGGTCGTAGTGTGAACAATGTGAATTATTGCTGTAGGATAAGCACTAAACTACTAACTACAAGGTTGGTAGTTCAAACCCACCAGCTGCTACTCCCAAACCCTATACAGGGTCACTATGAGTCGGAACCGTCCAACAGCACTTCACAACAAGAAGCTCACCATGGACACAGAGCTCCAGTTCATCCCGTCTCCTTTCTGTATCATGCCGCGCTTCAGGAGTCTTCTTACCATTGGAGTCGGCTGTCTTACAAAGAGGCCACTCACCTTCCTGACCTCAGTCAGGTGGACAGACCCCACTAGGGAGATTGAGGGCAGGATGATGAATTCTGGCATTGCATCCCCTAGTCTTGTGTTTTAATAAAGCCCACTCATGCGAGAGAAAGATGAGTTTTTCTACTCCCGTAAAGATTTACACCCTCGGAAACCCTGTACAGGGTTGCTATGGGTCGGAACCAACTTGACGGCCCTTAACAACAACATACATCCGAACCTTGTTCAAATTTCTCCTTTTTCTGATTTTTATCTTCAAGTGTGATGTTTGTGTGTGTAGTATGACATTTATGTGCTTCCATATATCCTGAAAAACAAAGAAATACCACCTTAACTTACTCGTGATGATGTAGTATTTTAGCTTAGGCATGTAGTTTGGGAGGTAAGTTACAATTTGGCTAGAAAATTAGAAATACCGTACATTTTAATTAATATTTATAGATAATTTAGGTGTTGCTTATGTGTATACATGTGTATACATAAATATGTGTGTATCTACATATATATTTATGTATGTATGCATGTCAGTTTTCTCAGTGTATTGTATCTTATAGCAAAGACTTATTAATGTAAAAATATTCATATAGAGTATCTCCTGCACTTATTTTGTTACTTGAAACTCTATTAGCTGGATTATAAAGAGTAGTTATAATCAAAGACTTGAAATTTCCTTTTGTTACTGCCAGGACCCTGTCCAGATCCAATGTGCGTCTGTGTTGTTTTGTAGGCCTATGAAGAATACACCAGCAAGCTAGATGCCCTCCAACAAAGGGAACAGCAGCTACTGGAGTCCTTGGGGAACGGAACTGACTTCTCAGTCTCCAGCTCCGCATCCACAGACACCGCCATGTCCTCCTCCTCGTCCAGTCTCTCAGTGCCGCCTGCAGCGCTTACCGTTTTCCAAAACCCCACCGATGCATCACGGAGCAACCCCAAGTCACCCCAAAAACCTATTGTTAGAGTCTTCCTGCCCAACAAACAGAGAACAGTGGTGAGCCAACTTTTACTATTACTGTCCTGCTGTCTCTTTCTCTGTCTCTCTCTTTTTTGAAGAAAGAGCAGTTGTTGAAAATGAGATCTGCTATCACTTGTACTCAGAAGTGATGCAGATAGAAGGCTTCATTTCAAACAAGAGTGGGAGAGACCGCTGTTGGGTGGCTCAGTCTGTGTCCCTGGAAGACACTTACTGTCGGTAGCATCACATTGACATCTGCACCTGTCTACCAAACTTGAAGCCTACTCGAGTAAGTATGAATCCAGAACCAATCACTTTCAAGACTTAAGCTTGTTTAGTGTCTGTGGTAGGTCAAATACGAGTCAGTCTTCATTTATCATCACATGTTGAATTTTCTGTGTGCTTAGTATTTGTTCCCTCTGTCTCCGTGACTTGGATGTGGAGCATCCATGCCACCATTAGAAAAGCGCACTCTGGCAGGAGCATTCGAAGCGGGGAAATGGACAGAGTGTAGCCAGCTGCGCTATGTTCCTCAGTACAACAAGGGGTGTCAGTGAACTTCATACTTCCTGTATCAGTCTGCATCACTGCTTTTAAATGTACCCAGGAATTTAAAATATTCGTTTCCACAGAAAACTTAAGTCAGAGTCATTTTCAAGTTTTGTTTTTATTTTTCTTAGATAACAGAAGTTAAGGTTGTAACTACAACCATATCAGGGTCCCAGAACTTCTTTTCTGGCTTAAAAAGAAAACGTGTCATAAAGGCATCATACCCCTTTCTGCATTAGAGATTAAACTGGAAAATTAGGGAAGCTCGGAAATCTGGGTTAAGTAGTAGCTTCTGGTTAGAGATGCCTTCTTGACACTCTTCAGCCCTTCCTCACGTGAATGGGCAAGCGTGGCTGCTAATGACAAGGACTCTTGATTACTCATTATGCAGAACTACAGGGAGTTACAAAAAGCTTTCTGCTCCCACAAAGATTTACAGCCTCGGAAACCCTGTACAGGGTCACTATGAGACGGAACCGACTCGACAGAACTTCACACCAACAACAACATGAATAAGTTTCTAAAACAAACTGTTTTCCCTCATCTTTCTTCTGTTGAGCCAAATGAAATTCAAATATTTTCCCACTTTAAGATGGGGGATTAACTATGCAATGTCCTTTCTAGATACCACCCCAGAAAGGTCATTGAAATTCAGGTTTGAAAAGAATAGGGAAAAGCTTTCAATGGCATTCTTGGGACTTGAAATTTTGGGGACACAGTTTGGAGACTAGGTACTACTCTCCAATTATTGTTGGTCTCCTTAATTGAGGTCATGGTCATGTCCTACTTCTTAGGAAATCATACGTAAGTATTTGGGGGTCAAAGGTCATGAAGCCAGTGGCCTTTCTGTTTCCTCTGTATTATTTTAAGCTGTAGCTTACACACAGGAAAGTGGGTACATCTAGCATTTGAGGGGGCTCTGTTGTGCCCTACCCTACATGCCCCCAAGATTGACTCTTCTGACTCAAGCTCAATAAATGAATTTGGAACTTACTTTCAAACAGTAGGACGGAAAACAAAATGATGACAGAAAGCGAGAACGCAAGACAAAGCAAATCTGGAAAAATGAGGATGTTGGAATCTAAGTAGAGTGAATTTGGATGTTCATTGTGCCAGTTCTATACATGTTCTGTGTGTTTGTCATTGTTCATAATCAAATTAGAAAAAGTCAAGCAACATAGGATAAAGGAAAAATAAAGTTCAAAAGAATCAGTTGTCATTAGAGACAGAACAGTAGTGAGCGTTTGGATACTGAGTGAGGAAGTTGTGCAGTGGCCCTTTCAGTGAGGTGCCAACATGCCAGGCTACGTCCAGCAGTGGTTTGTTAAGTGCTGGCGAGTTAGTTCTGACCCATGGGTGGTGGGCAAAGGAAACAAACCTGTCTAAGGGGAGAATTAGTGAGTTTTGGAAACCATGGAAGAAAGATGCAGAAAATGCCAAAGGAAGGCTAAGGGAGATGATGAATGGAATGTGCAGGTTCACTATGTGCCTCAGAGGAGAGAAATGATGGCTAACACTTGTGAAAGACATGAACCTACAAAGGTTCTGGGAGCACAAGGCCTCAGTTGGATCAATGTATATCTGAATCCACACTTACTAGAAATAGCAAAATGAAAGAAAATTATTCTAAAAGCACGCAGGAAAATAAAATTCTCAAAAGAATTACAATTTGATTACCAAACATCTCCATAGCAGCTGTAGGAGCCAGACACCGACAGAGCAGTACACTGTAGGCCGAGAGATGCTGGCACAGCTCAGCTGTGTGTTTAACTGGCTCTCCATTGGGGGCCTTCCAGATGAGGTATTCACCGTTCGTAAGCTCTGCTTGAAGGAATCACCCAAAGAGCTTCAGTTTAGAAAGAAAACTGAGCACAGGACAGAATAGAAAGTAAGAACCTAAAACCATAAAACCTGTAGAAGGAAACCTTTGTCTCCTGGTATTTGACCAAGATTTCTTAGGTATGATGCAAAAGACACAATCTATTATGAACAGACTGAAAAGTCAGACTTGATCAAAATGAAAAATTTCTGTCCTTCCCTAAGAGGGAGAAGAGAAAAAGCCAGTCTGGGAGGTGCACTTTGCTGTACCTGATCAAGGACATGTATCCAGAAGCTACGACAAAGTCTCAAAACGCAGTCATATCCCACTCTTTTCAGGTGTGCAATGACTTACCCTCAGCCAGTCTGATTTTTCTATTTCTGTTGGATTGGCAAAAACGGCTTGGGACAATATGTGCAACAAAAAGTATAGCAAGAGAGACCCCTAATGTGACACTGCAGGGTAAGCACTGGGCTGCTAACGGACAGGTCGGTGGCTCACACCCACCAGCCACTCTAGGAAACTCTGTGTGAGGTCTCTGTGAACCTGAACCCACTGGACACCACACAGCAACGACCAGAGAGAGAAAGTGTTAGTTGTTTACGTGTTCTTGTTTTATGTTTTTTCCCTCCTCAACTAGCTAAGACAGAACCCACTTCTCAGTCCCCTGTAACACCCCCAGGGCATGATTCTGAAGCATCCAATGTTGCCCTGTCTGCCCCCTTTGTCCCTCCTTTTATTTATCTTATTTACAGACTGTGGGACACGCATCTCAGTCTTTCAGTCACGCGGACTGACATTGGAGGGCTCTGCACCACCTCTAGCTGGTCACAGAATGCCGGTTCCACAGAGGCCCAAAGGAACTCAAATTCTAGACACTCTTACTAGCGCACATGTTGTTTTAACAGGACAGGTTGAGAATAAAGGGACACCATTAGATTTGAGTCTGTGATGGAGTCCCAGCTCAGGCCCCCTCCTCACCATTTGTAGTTGCTGCAGGGCAGAAGCTGGAGATCTGCAGGCGATGAGAGAGGAAGGTGCAGGCCTTTTGCACATGGTTCACAGTTTGCAAAAACACTCTTCCATCCTCCCGTTTGTGAGGTGGGTGAAGCTTCAGTTCCACAGTATTGAAACGACAGTAGTCAATCTGAACAAAACAGCTGTGGAGCCCAGGACGTTCACGACTCCGCAGTTCTGTTCTTCACTTTCAGCACCAGCAATAGGACTTTGTTTTTTGTTGTTGTTGTGAAGGGCTGCCTTAGCAGTCCTGACGCACAGTGACCCTTGTGTAGAGTTTCTGAGGAGTGGCTGGTGGGCAGTCCTAGGTAAGTGTTTTTCCCACTTGGAGTGCTAATAAGGCATTTGATTGGACTTGATTGGGACCAGCAATTTAGCATGAAAGACTTAGCAGTTTTCACAACCCCATAGTCACTGACTCTTGGCTACTTAATTCAACTGCATCATTCAGAAGCATGCTGAATTCTGACATGGTGTTTGCCTTATAAAGTTTTTATGGCTTAAATAGCCATTTCTTTTCACTCTTGTAAGAGCATGTTTTCAGCAGATTCTATCTTGTTTTTTTTGTGTGTGTTTTGTTTTGTTTGGAAACAGTGCTATGTAGGATCAGTGTTAGAGTCCTGAGTCAGGACATGACATCAAGAGAAAGAATCCAGATTCATACATCGGCATGTCCCTTGTGGTCAGTTTGTCCAAGGAGGTTCCTGAGTGCTTGCCTATCAGGAGTGCTTAAAGCACATAGTACAGTCTGCACTGTAAAGAAACGTGACGCTCCAAATCACTAGACACACAGTAAATTTGATGGCCCCCTGAAAAAGGACTGCTCGCAGGATGAAACCATTTTTGTTGGAGAATTTAAGCATGCATAGAAGTGGGGTGCTGTACTGAATCAGCAGAACACAGAATGAAAGGCTCACTTTTTTGTGCATTCCCGCCCTTTGAAGACTGACATGCTGTGTACTTGCTTGTGGCCCAAGCTTGCCTTTAGCCACCATTCAGGTGATTCCATGGACTCTAGTCCTTTTCCATGCTCAAAAGTAGGCTGCTTGCTTTTAAGTTGTTGAAAGAAAGATCCTTGCTGCTTTGACAGGGCTGGGGGGAGGGATAGTGTGAGCGGATCTTTTTAGGGTGCCGTTAGGGTTCCCAGACTTAAAATACCAGACACCTCTATTGCCCTTTCCTTGCTTCATCAGTAGGTGGTCTTTAATGTGGATTTCAAGCCATCTTGCTCCCACCCCTAGCCCTTTCTTTCTGTGAATCCCTGTTTTCAGTATTTGTTTTGTTGTTGTTGCTGTTGTGAGGTGCCATTGAGTCGGTTCCGACCCATAGCAACCCTGAATAGGGTTTCCAGGGAGTACCTGGTGAGCTTGAACCACCAACCTTGCAGTTCAAATGGCTTTGCAGTCTGGCTCATTAACCCACAGCGCCACACCAAGACTCCCAGTATTTGTTTGTAAGTGCCTTTGAGTCGGAGCCGACCCATAGCGACCCTGTACAGGGTTTCCGAGGGTGTAAATCCTTACGGGAGTAGAAAGCCTCATCTTTCTCCCGCGGAGCGGCTGGTAGTTTTGAACCACTGACCTTAAGGTTCACAGCCTGATTCATAACCACTACGCTTATACAAGCAAATACATTTTTGTATTGGAAGATGGAATTAAAAGAGGCTTCAATCGAAGTTCATGGAAAAATTGAATTTTTAAATATTGGGATTTGTCCCAGGAACTTTTTGAAACCCCTCTTCTTTCCCTCCCCCTGTCCGTACTGCCTTTCAGACAGGACATCTGACTGTAGTGTGTGTGTGTGTGATACGTACTCACCCTGTGGTTTGCTTTTCTTGCTCATATAGAGCCCTGGGGACATTTCCATCCAGACATGGAGGGTTCCTGTGTCCAGTGGTAGCTGCAGGTCCACTGTGTTGACGCTGTAGTGAACAGCGCAGCATATAGGCCATCCTGTGTGTGACAGACGTGTCTGTGAGGGACAGAACCAGAGTGGGAACCCCATGGTTCTGATAGATAGGGCCAAATTTCAGAAGGCTGGCTTCAGTTTGCTCTTGTCAGCCAGTGGCTCCACAAGAGAAAGACCTTGTGTTCTGCTTCTATAAAGATTCCAGCCTAGAAAAGCCCGTGGGACAGGCCTGCTCCATCACAGGGTCACCAGGAGTGGCCAGCACCCAACAGCCACTGCTAACAACCAACAACAACCAACGCCAACAGCCACCACCAACAACAACAAACACAACCACCAACAACAGCCAACACCAACAAGCACCACCAACAGCCACCAACAACTGCCACCACCAACAAACACTAACAACCACCACCAACAAGCACCACCAACAGCCACCGCCAACAACCACCACTAACAGCCAACAACAACCACCACCGAGCACCACCAACACCCCACAACCACCGCTAACAGCCACCACCAACAAGCACCACTAACAGTCTGTGAGATGCTGTCTTAGCCACAGCTCATCACACTTCAGGGCTTTTGCCAGTGTGGTGGATGAAAACAGCTTTGGCACATTTGAATTTGCTTTCCTCTGCATGAAGTTGCGCTTCTTCTCCTAGGTCTTAAGGCTGCCTTTCCCGTCCTCCATTGGGTGGTGGTTGTCAGGAGCTCTTTACCCGTCTCATAGGATGTTTTTCCCGCTTTGCATTTGTCATTTGACTTTGCCTATATATAGTGTGTTTAAGGAGCCCAGGTGGTGTAGTGGGTAAAATGTTGGACTGCTAACTGAAAGGTGAGCAGTTCAAACCCACCAGCCTGCTTCCATAAAGATTTACAGCCTCAGAAATCCTATGGGAGCAGTTCTACTCTGTCCTATAGGATGGAAAACTGTGAGTCCGCCTTGGAAACTCTATACAGGGGCACTATGAGTCGGAACAGACTCGGCGGCACACCACCACCACCCCCACCAGTTTTATGTATGTGTTCGCCTCTGATTTGGTCTTTCTGTTCTGCCCCATTGGTCTGTGTGTCTATTGCACAGACGATCATGAAGGAACACGACAGAGATGACAGAGTGGGAGACCGGGTCCTCGCCTCCTGATGGACTCTGCTCACCCCTTGGCAGCAGTATGTGCAGACACAGGGCATGGCCATGTGTGAGGACTGCTGTTACTGGAAGGAGTGAGCAAGTGTGTGCCTTCTTACGGAGTTGGAAGCAGTCTGGTGAAATAGAAGTTGTTCATTAGGACAGCATTCTAAATATGGCCTCAGGGTCCATGAGCCTCTCCAGCTTTGTTTCACATGGAGCGTCTGAGCCCCACACTCACGCAGCCAGGATGCCTTCCTAAGAAAGCTGTGTGTGAGTCCACGGGCTGGGAGATTGGGCAGAGCTGACCTTGCCCTGGTCTGAAGGGTTTGCATCTGTAGGCAGAAGGTGAAGGGAACCTACACTGGGTCAGGACCCTTTCAATTACCCAGAGTCACATGGGCCTTGGGAAGGGTGGGGAGGAAGTGGGAGATGGCAGAGCTCACAGAGCGAGATTCTCTTTTTACCCCTCTCCATGCTTCCGTCCCTCCCCCAGCCTTACGTGTGAGGGAGGGGCACCTGGGCCTCAGGACTCTTGGTGTCTTTCCTTGCGGGGACAGTGGGAGAGGAACTTCTCAACAGTGTCTACAGAATCATGAAGGGAGTCATTCAGGTTGCTTGTCCAGCCCGGGGCCAGTTACTGTTGTCATCTGCCCATCTGGTACCAAGTGGACTTCAGGAAAGGCCAGTCTCCCAGAGGAAAGGGGTGAGCCACTGAGCAAGTGTCACTTGTATACACGGGGGCCACAGTGATGTCATCAGTGTGACTGGACAATGTTGGCATCTTTCATTCCTCAGTCTTTTTGTTTCTCTTCTTTTTTATATGTTTCAAATAACCCATAATTTCAGTAAGAGGCTAAATAGAAAATTCATTTTGCTTTGGCTCAAGTTGGTGGACCATAATAGATGCTTGGTTCATACAATGGCACTTAACAACAACAACATGAAATTAGCTCTAGACATGATGTCATATCCGACACAGTGATCACACGGTGTTCTACAGGTCTTATGAAGGTAACTGGTTGCGTTTTGGTTTAGCTTTTATGATGTGGATACGATATCTTTGATGGCTTTGCCTCATCTGATGTGTTTGATGCTGCAGGTCCCTGCGCGGTGTGGCGTTACCGTCCGGGACAGTCTGAAGAAGGCATTGATGATGCGAGGTCTGATCCCAGAGTGCTGTGCTGTTTACAGAATTCAAGATGGGTACGGTTTGTATGTGATGTTGCATTCCATATTTAAAAAGGGGTAGAGTGGGGATGAGAGGACGCATAGGTATTAAACTTGGAGTTTTTCTGGAGGTGTTTGCTCAAATACTACTTTATATTCCATTAGCCTAGATAAATTTCATAAAGCCTTAGAGGAGTTAACATGGAATAATGTTGTCTGACAATAATGTTTGGGGAGCATGGTGGTTCTGTATGATAAGCACAGGACTGCAAACCACAAGGTCTGTGGTTTGAGCCCATCAGCCACTCTGCAGGAGAAAGATGAGGCGTCCTTCTCTGTCAAAGGTTTAAAGCCTCGGAAACCCTATACAGGGTCGCCCTTCTTTCCTGATTGCAGCTGGTACCTCTGAGCTCTTTTTTATCTCAGGAGAGATTGACTCAAAATACAACCCAATCTTGTAGACTGTAACGTGTCTCCGTAACAGAACTGCCTCTGATCCTAGCTCGTTAACGTCATTTTGTTGTTGTTAAGAGGGAAGATTTGTAACACACAGGATAGTCACATCACAAAATAGAGGATAACCAATCATAGCATAGGATGGATTATATCACAACATCGAGGCTAATTACCTAATACTGAAAATCCAGAATCAAATCCACAGCACTTAACACCAACAGGAGTAGTATTTAATACTTGGATCAGATGACTTTATGTAGCATGTGAAATACTTACCATGTGTGAGCCATGTGCAATGAGACTTACCTGGATAAGTCACATTTTCAAAGCAACTCGTAGTTTCATAAAGGGCTTACAGAAAATAACACTTTATACCGAACTAGTTTTCTTTCAGAAAGGACCAAATATTGTGCTGTGGTTGTTAGCTGCCGTTGAGTCAATTTGATTCCCAGCAACCCTGTATAGGATTTCTGAGGAATGGCTAGTGGGTTTGAAGTCCAACAGTTAGCAGTTAGCAGTCTAGTGCTTATCCTGCCGCACCATACCAAGACTCCAATATTGTACTAAGTCCCAAAATATTGAGTCTTCTTTAAAACACACACACACACCCCTTTTGGGGATGTGGTGTCCTTCCTGCACTATTTTCCTTTAGCTAGATAAATCCATACTTGAGAATTCTTTCCTTCTTTTGGCTGTGGGTGGGCCCCTAGGGACAACACAGTCTCTGCTGTTGTCGGTCTCTTCTGGAACCTCTCTTACAGTTGTTAGTCCAAGAGTGATCCACACATATAGCGTCAACGGAAACATCTATTGTGTGGACGGAAGGCCAGGGAGCCCCGCCCCCTCACTGCGCCTGGCCCCTAAGTAACCAATGTTGAGCGCTTCAGGCGTGCACAGACTCATGGGAGCCTAACAATGAGCTCTGTGCCTGCACCTTTCAGAGAGAAGAAGCCCATCGGCTGGGACACCGACATCTCCTGGCTCACCGGGGAGGAGCTGCACGTGGAGGTGTTGGAAAACGTCCCACTGACCACACACAACTTTGTACGTGCCACCTGTGCCCCGCACTGGCAGCCCTCCCCCTCCTCAGGAAGGTGTAGCTGCTGGTGAACGGGAAATGCTGGGGGGTCATTGCGGGATCAACACTTGGCCCATGTTGGAAAGCAGTTCCCGCCTTTAGATGCTTGTGTTGAGACCACAGAGTTTGTTTACATCAGTACACTTTCTTTTCCGTTAAGAAGAGTGATACAGGTCATTATTAAAACTAACTGGAATGGTACAAAAGTATATATGTGGGGGCTTTCAAAAAGGTTGTGGAAATTGCAATTTTTCTATGAACCTTTTGAAGGCCACTCCCACCCTCATCTGTCAGGTGGGAGCAGCCTCCTGGAAGTCAGCGTCTGCACAGATGTGGAGCAGCCTCCAAAGCTTTCCCCCTTTTCTTTCTTTCCCCGGCCCCCTGTCATCTGGTTCCCTTCATTCTTCTCACTTCTTAAACCATAAGCAGAGTCCTGCTAGTATGAGCCTCGTCACGTGTTTGGGCGTTTTTAATTCAACAATACATCATGGATCTCTTTCCGTGTCAGTGCAGCCAGCCTTCTTTTTGTAATGATTTCATCATAGTCCATCTCTTCATTAACAGACATTTAAGTTGTTTTACTGTATTGTATACCAGGCTAAAAGGAGTCTTTATGTAGACATCGTGATGCTCTGTAAATGTTCTTGACGCTTACTTAGGGAGATGAACAGGTAAGAGCTGAGCATTCAATTCTTCCTTTATATGGTGTTGGTGTTTGTGACAACCTAGTATTAGCTAAGAGTCATGAGGTCTAGCAGTGGGGGCCTAGAGGGACAGATACAGTTCCTGGAACTTAGGAACCCGTTCTCCAAAGAGTCGAAGGGCAGAAACCAGAAGTCGGGGACTCTGTAAAGCAGGAGTCCATTTCTTACTTTTCTATAAAGATGGCATTTTGACCATAGTGAATTATTTTCTAGCGGGACGTAGTTATTGTATCCCTTTCAGCCAGGAAGATTCCCAAGGGAAGCCTAATAAGATCAGGCCTGATGGGATAGAGCAAGTAGCAAGTGCAGAATGAAAAGTGTCTCGTTTTCTCATGCTGCTCTAGCAGAAACACCCCCACGTGGATGGCTGTAACAGACATTTCGTCTGTCATAGGCTAGGGGGCCAGAAGTTCAGATTCAGGATGCCAGCTCTGGGGAAGGTCCTTGTCATCAGTGTTCCCCTGGATCTCGGAGGTTCCCAGCACAGTGACCCTGGGGACAAAAGGTGCCTTCCACTTCCGGTTTTCCTTGCCTGGTGGTCATTCACCCCTCTGAGCTCTGTTCACTGTTCATTCTCTTCCATACCTCAAAAGAGACTGCCTCAAGATACACCCCATCCTGTACACTGTCTCAGTAACTTAACTGCCTCTGAGCCTGCCTCATGATCATCATAGAGGTGAGGATTTACAACACAGGATACTCACATCACCAGATAGAGGCGGATAGATCATAACATAGGATCAGTGGTATCATAAAAGAGAGGGTAATTACATAATCTTGGAAATCAGGGCCTAGCCAAGTTGACACACATTTTCAGGGACAACTGTCCATAACAGGAAGTGTTTTCTAGGCAAAGGAAGAACAAGGAGAGATACCACCTATAAAGTTTTGAAAGAAGTTGAGAAGGGCTGGAACCAGGTTGGGAAGAGGCCGTTGCCATGTAGTAAGAACTAAGGGTCATGATGTAAGGAAGCCAATAACAGGAATTGAGACCAGAACTGAGTAGATTAATGACAAACGAGAAATCGAGAGCTTGAACCAAATAGCTGACCACCTGAAAGATGATGTGAGTGGCTGGCGAAGGGGGCAGGTGCCTAAAAAAGGCGGACCCTGCGAAAACGGTAGCTACTTTTCTATGTACTGCTTCCTGAGATTCTGCTAGCACGCACTTGGCTAGCAGTTTAGAAGACGTTGGTTTGGTAAATAGTGACTAATATTACATGAGCGAAAGATTAAAGATACTGTCTAATTCCTTGTGTCTAGAGAACCCAGCAGAAAGGAGCGGCACTAGAAAGGGTAGTTAGCCTACAGAGGTGAGGCAGAGCCACTGTGCTACAAAGGGACAAGAGAAAATGAGCCATTTTAAAACGATTGAAATTTTCTTTAAAAGCCAGAGTGGACTTTTTTTAGGGGGGGAGGGGAAGCTTTTATTTTACATTCCTCGGGAAAAATAAATGATGCCATCAATATGATGTATTCTGGGGTTGAAGTCGTAAAGTTATGTAAAGAAGATCGTTAGGAGTTTAAGCCAGGGGAGGAAAATAGACAGATACACAGCATCTCTATCCAGATGCATTTTGGAGCTATTAGACTTTATGAGACATTGCTTGGACTTCACGAGGGTAGAATCAGGTGAAAAATGTATTATTGACACCATTGTGCCCGTAAACTAGTTCAGTAGAAAGAAATAGCCTGCAATACTACCTGAATTTCATCTAAAAATTAAAATACTATGTATATGGTAAACATGCTGTCTTTCTTTGAATCAGGGTAATTTATCTTTCAACTAGAATAAATGGAAGTTCAGTAGGCTTTAAGATTTTCTCTGGGATAAAAGCAGTAAGGAGGACAGTGGCAAGACAGTCCAGACCACCTTATGGAAACCCCCTTCAGAATGGACTTTTGACCAGGATATTATTTACTTGATGAAGCTTTCATTTAAAATAATGTGTTATTCCATATTAACTGAAAATAGAGTTTGATCAATGTATGGATGTTGAAATCAACTTAATGGATCCTGAAAACCATTTCAGATGGCCCAAGAACAGAAATGTCTTAACGTATATTTTGTAGTAGAGTCAGAGTTTGTATTTTTATATGGGAGCACTGGGAGGTATGTGAAGTATGTTTTCTTACCATTGTTTGTGGTCAGAACTCTTTGAAGAACTGAGATGAATCCAGATGCACAGTAAAGAACAAATAAAGCACCGGAATTCCCCAGGCTCCCAGCTCTCAGAGACGCTCACTGTTCATACTTTGGTTTCTGTAGACAGTGTCCATGGACGCGGGCCTGTTACACACGCAGTGTCTGTCTGGGTCGTTCTCAACGGTGGAGTGTCTCTAGCACAGCCCTGCTTATGGCCCGTGTAGCTGGACGATTTGCCCTTTGGATGGTGGCATTTCTTCACATTGTCTTTAGGTAGAGAAATGCTCACAAAGAATTGTAGGTGCCCCGAGCATTCTGGTCCTCTACGAAGTGAATAATTTGTTAAGCATTGTCATTGTATTTTAGGGAGCCCCTTATCCTACCTCTGGGCTTTGGGGAGAGTTGTTCTAGTTTTCACAATTAGATACTGGTTTTAATCTTTCAAAACCAGTTGTTGAATTTTTATCAAAGTACTATATGCACAAGGCCTGTAAAATTGTGCCGAGGGGTCAATAAAGGAAAGTTCCCCACTGGCCCATCGCTTGCAAGATTCTCGGGCCACTCCCGGGGAGGCCAGGCTTAACTTTGAGTGCTTTCAGAGATTTCTGGTATTCCTAAAGGATACTCGTGCTCCTTAGAGGCCAAGATGGCCTAACTTCGTCTCTTATACTTTGGACATATTGTCAGGAGGGAACAGTCGCTGGGGAAGGATAGCATGTTTGGTAAGATGGAGGGTCAGAGAAAAAGAGGAAGACCCCCAACAAGAGGGATTGGCCAGGTGGCAGCATCGATGGACTCAAGTGTGGCAACAGTAGAGAGGTTGGCCCAGGATTGGACATTGTTTCGTTCTGCTGTGCCTAAGGTCGCTATGGGTTGTTACTGACTGGATGTCACCTAACGACAACAACAAAGGATATTCTTTGTCACAGTGTCTTGCTTTATCAGCTTTAGACATGACTTACTGATAAGTGGTGATTCCTTGAGAAATTAGCTCATTTGCCTCATCTCAGCCCTTCCTCTTTCTCCCTTCTTCCCCTCCCACTATAATGTCACTGTTATCGTTGTCGCTTGTCCGTCAACAACAGTCAGCATCGCCCAGCTCCCCCTTGAATTGTACCCTCCCTCCCAGCCACCTGCTTCTCTTGCTCCTACTTGACTTCCCAGCTTTTGTGTTGTGGACTTTGGAGTCAGTCCCCAGTCTTTCCACCCCTTCCCGTCTTCCTGACTTTTGTAATTTTTTAATTGGGGGTGAGAGTAGGACATAAACAAGCCTAGTTCATCACGTAGTTTTCATTTTAGTATCTTTGGATATAAGGCAGTTCATCCTGGAATAGACTTAGTAAAGGTTTATTATCCAAGTAAGAAAGTGAATATGTTGATTTCTAACAAGATTCTTGCAGCTTTTGAAATCCTCTGTGATTTTTTACTTTGCAGGTACGGAAAACTTTTTTCACCTTAGCATTTTGTGACTTTTGTCGAAAGCTGCTTTTCCAGGGTTTCCGCTGTCAAACATGTGGTTACAAATTTCACCAGCGTTGTAGTACAGAGGTTCCACTGATGTGCGTTAATTATGACCAACTGGAGTAAGTAATCCACAACATCTCTTTATTGTACTATTTTACTTCTAAAATTTCTTAATATGAAACGAATATGTCTTAAAGTCTGAGAAATTTTTTATCTGGTGCAGTTGTTAGAGGGAATTAAAAACAAAAGTGTGGCAGCAAGTTCTATGCAGTGTAAACAGCCCTTCTCTCCCGGGTTCTAATTCTGGATCCGTTACATACTTAATTCATGGTTTACATTCTCCTTCAATCAATAAAGATACCTTCCCCATAGAAACCACATTGAAATCCTTTTTTTTTTTTTTTTTCAAGAAAGGGGAGAGCTGTTTTAGTTAGTTAATTTAACCATTGTATTTTGGGGTCTCAGAACAGAGGGTCTGATCCTATTAATTCTTTTTTAAATTATGTTTACTTTCTTTCACTCTCTTCACCTTTCTGCCCTGCTCTGTACCCTGCTTGCTTAAAAGCAGGATAGAAATCTGTGTTTCCATTGTAGCTCTATTGAACTTTTCTCTTTGCTTTATGCCCGCCTTTCCAGCATAGATTAGGCTGAGTGGATGGTAATCTTTTGTGCGGTGGTGGTGGTGCTGCTGCTGTTAAAAAGTCTTACGGTTTCTGCAGATCAACTCAGCAAACGGAATTCTGCTCTGCGCTTTTGTAGTAACAGGCTGCCATGTAGTCTAACTTAGCAGTAGGCGCTCTTCCTCTAACCCCTCAGCCATTAAGAATGATTCCCCTTTCACATGTGGAACTTGTCTCCCTAAGCCCTCAGCCATTAAGAACGATCCCCCTTTCACGTGTGGAACTGTGCTGCAGAGAAGACCCACTTCTAAGCTAGCCCTTGAAACTACAATATGTGTTTCAAAAGCAAGCCTTAACTAAAAAGTCCAGCTCCCTAGTGGAATTTTACCGATTATTGTCTTTGGAACAGGATTGTTCTCTTTACTGTATAATGTGCTCTGGCCTGTGAAGCTTTTGGGGTTTGCACAAGTTCGGTTTGTTTTGTTTTGTTTTTGTTTTTGCCTCACAGTTTGCTGTTTGTCTCCAAGTTCTTTGACCACCACCCAGTCCCGCAGGAGGAGGCCTCCTTAGCCGAGACTGCCCTTACGCCCGGATCGTCCCCTCCCGCACCCCCCTCAGACTCTCTTGGGTATGATTTGTTTGACTCCTGCTGTTCCGTGACATGCCCTCTGAGCTGCTTTCTCCCGGCTTTGGGGTTAATTTAAAGCCTTCCCAACACATGAATTGTTAGGTTCAGGATTTTGTCCACGTCATGGATTTAAAAGCATCAGGCAGATCTTCACGTGCACTTGGTGCTGATGGTGGGAGTCGAGCTGACCTACGTCCTTCAGGCCCAGTCCTGGAGAAACTGGCTGCCAGCACCGTCACCGTCTGAGGTCTTGTCGGCTGTCGCCGTAAATGGTCTCCATTCAGAAAAGTGGCATTTGCCTAGCAGATAAAGTCAAATGATTTTCCAAAAGCTGGTCATTCTGGTCTGGGTCATACAATGGAGGGCATCAAACTACATGATGAGGACACGCACGGTCTCAGTTTGTGGGAGGAGAGAGAAGCCAGGACTTAGTGGAGACAGGGATTGGCAGTGTGCCCAAGGGAACTAGGTGTGAGCGCTGAGTGGGTACACATTGAGTGGTGCAGCCTGGAGGAGAATAGACTACGGGAATGAGGGAGTCTTCCAAGATGATAAGGAGAGGCACCATGGGACAACTTGAGGAGTCCCGAGAGCTTTGCAGTTCGTACTAGAGTTCAGACTTGACATAACAGGGGAAAAAACAAGGAATTAAAGTGTCAGAGTCAAGCGCTGGCCCGAGGAAATGGTTTGAAAAGACCCCCGCAATGCTATGCACATGAATAGATGGAGAGAAGTCTGACTGAAGGCAGAGCCAAGGGTGCACTTGGTAGTGAAGACAGTGCGCTGCCGGGAGGACCAGCTGGAGCAGCAGCAGTGCAGACACAAGGCTGGTGCCCGCCCGTCCTGTCCTAGAGAGCACAGGAGTGTGTACTAGGAAAGGGCTGGTCCCTGTCCTAGAAAGAACAGGAGTGTGTACTAAGAGAACAGTGTACCCTGGCCTTAAATAGAAGGAATGAGAAGTTTGTACTAATCAGCTATATAGAATGAGGATAAATTAGAGAAATGGCTTTAAATGCAACACAAAGACATCCAATAATCATACTTCCATACTAAATAAGAAAGACTGTGCTGCTGAGTGGAGGGTGATTAACTTTCTCTGGAGTTCTCCTTAATACTGCTTATTTCCTCCCTGCCTGCTGGATTTGGAACAGCATGAATTTCACCCTGTCTGGGTATATATGATTTTTTTAAAGTCCCCACACAGAGTCTGTTTTAGAATCTTCCAGAGATAGTTAGTTAAGATCAGAATCATATGTTGTTAGTTTTGACCCCAGTTTTTAAGTCATTGTCTGTTGCATCAGTGTCTCTGTAGGATTTCGGAGGAGTAACTAGTGGGTTTGAACCACTGACCTTGGGGTTAGCAGCCTTGGTCTCCTTCTTAGAGAAGTACTTTAAAATGCAATGATTGGCTCTCCCACTAAACTTGTAATTTGATGGTGCCGGTCTTGATCATGGTGTGTGCTCCGGAGGCCTCAGAGGTCAGAACATTTGGATGAAGAGTGCTGAGTTTATCTGGAGCTCTAGCCAGGCACCATTCCCTCCATCCGGCTCTAAAGTTCTGTTCCCTGGCTGGGTCATTCCTTCCCAGCTGGCTCTGTCTTAGTTGGATGCAGCTGGTGCCTCACAGAGGCTGAAAGCAAGATAGAAGATTTCTGTAGCTTTGGCTGTGTGTTTTGAGTCATGCTTAGGCTCTGAGGTTTGCTCCTGACAGGGCCTGTAGACTGACACCTGCCCAGTGACCCGTCCAGTTCTGGGAACAGCGGTATAGAACACCAGGCTGGGATTGACTTCTCAGAGGGCCTGTGACAGTGGCAACCCACCCCATGAGTGTCCATGAAGGAGTACCATCGTAAACTTCAAACTGCTGCCTCTGCCAAAGTAGTTTATTCATAACTGAACTGAAGCCAGCTCTCTGGTGTGGAGCAGATGACCAGAAAAGTGTTCAAACTGTTCTGTAGAAATCGTTTTCCTGGTGCTTTTATGTGGGAAGCATACCAGGAGGCTTCAGAAACTTTGTGGGAAGATGGACATAAAAGATAATAGAATTTTTCCACAAACTTTCTGAAGCCCCCTCATGTCCAGGTGCCTGCATAAAGATAGAAGACAAGTGTGTTTTGTTCATGCCCCAGAAACAGTGACAGTGGCCTTGAACCAAGAAGGGTAGTGCCTGTGGTAGGCACGTGTCGGGGGCTGAGTACATTATCGAGTTTTGAAAGAAAAGTTAGAGGCACCTCCTCTTGTGCTTTTTGAAAGATAACTGCAGGCTTGGAACTCCAATGAAAGTCAGCATTTAAAATGTAATGTACACATCACTGAACTGGAGCCTTCATTGTGCTTCAGAATGTTGAAATATTTGAAGTTGAAACAGATCTAAACGAAGGGCATTAGAGGGAAAGTCCTTTTTATTTTTAATTTAGTGCTGATGAAATCTTGAAAAAGGCTGAAGCAAAATAATTAAGGGCGAGAACAAGCAAGATGGTGAATCGGGTGGAAGTACAGTGAGGAGTTCCGTCAGCAACAACACAGAATACCGAACCAAGCAGACTCGGGATGGTCCCAGAACTCTGAACCTCTATAAAGGAATATTTAGAAGGTTGGAAAGCTTGTAGCCAGTGGAATTTGTAGCAGAACCAGAAAATCCAGTGCTTTCTAATGCAAGGAGCTCAGCTGCTCCCTGAGCAAACATCTTGGGAGAGACCAAGGCAGGGAAGGATCAGAGCAGCCATAAACACCTGAGAGAACCACGGAGATAAAGGTGAGGACATTCTTTGATTTGTATGTGTTCAGTGGTCTCTCGCTGTCTGTGCACCTCAATTCTGGTGACTACAGGGGGTGCCTGAGCAAGTGGACACCCACCCTCACCCCCAGAGGGTTCTACTATGCATGTGCACAGATCTCCTCAAAAATTTAAAAGGACAGTTTCCATTTAAAACCAAACGGCAGTGAAAAACAACCACAGCTGGTCCCGAACTGTTTATCACTAGGAAAAAGGCCTAAACGGGGGTTGTGGGGTAGGACAGGCAGACTAAAAAGGTAACAAGCCAAAATAAAATCATGAGTTACGTCATAACGACCAACAGTGGCATCTTCAAATTTCTCAGGAAGAAGAGTGAAAAGGGAAGCACATCTCCTGATCACATCTACCTGGAGGCAATCAGAAAGCATAAAAAAAGACCAAAACACACCCCCATCTAAGTATTAAAGCCACAGCTAACTACTGAGTATGCTCACAAAACAGAAACGGGACCATATCAGCACATGTCCAGAAACAAAATTAGGTAACTTAGACAAGTGAGTTGAATGTAGACCTACACTCCATACTGGAATGGAGGGCAGGCTTTGGAAATACCTGAGAAGGAATTCAGAAAAATGGTTATAAAATGTATCAAAACACTTTACAATGGAGTTGAGAAAAATAAGGAAGAAGTCAGGAAAGTGCTACAGGAACAATCAAATAAGATAGATACAGCATAGGAAATAATTCAAAACCTACAGAAAGAGGTCCAAATGATTAATAATAGAATATCAGAAATGGACAATACATTAAAAGGGCAAAGGAGTAGAATTGAAGAGATGGAAGCCAGAATTAGTGAGCTGGAAGATAAATCTCTCAATACCACCAAGATAGAAGAACAAGCAGAAAAAAGGATTAAAAAATCTAAGGAAGGTCTAAGATTCATGTTGGACAACATGAAGAGGAATAACTTAAGAATTATCGCTATTCCAGAACAGGAAGAATCACACAAGTCCACAAAAGAGATAGTTGAAGAACTTCTGGAAGAAAATTTCCATAACATCCTGAAAAGTGAAACGATAAGCATCCAAGAAGCTCAACAAACCCCAGGAAGGATAGACCCTAAAAGAAACTCAACCAAGACATATAATAATCAATCTCTCTAAAATCAAAGATAAGGACAGAATCCCGAAGGCAGCTAGGGAAAAGAGAAGTGTAACATACAAAGCCAAACAAATCAGATTAAGCTCAAATTTCTCAACAGAAACCATGCAGGCAAGGAGGCAATGGGGAGACATATATAAAACCCTGAAAGACAAAAATAAACTGCCTACCAAGAATCCTCTACCCAGCAAAGCTGTCAGTCAAATACAATGGTATAATCAAAACATTCCAGGATAAACGGAAGCTAAGGGATTTTGTCAAAGCCAACCCTGTAATGAAAACACCCTAAAGAGAGTTCTGTGGACTGAGAACCAACAAGAACAGACAACAGCCAGAGATTGACATACATAACAGCATCACTCAGAAGTCAATCGACAAATGGAAGAGTCAAGAACAGAATAAAATTATAAGAACAAATTCAGAGGATCTGGGAGGTCAGTCTATGATCAAAACAATTACAGTGGGAAAGAAGGTAAACACAGACGAACAGATATCTAGGTGATAGGAAGGTCAGGTAGATTACAGGATAAAATTATTGTTGTTGTAGCTAAGTGCCATCAAGTCGGGATCTGACTCATAGTGACCCTGTACAGGGTTTCCAAGGAGCAGCTGGTGAGTTAAAACTGCCGGCCTTAACAGCCCAAACCAACGTTGCAGTTTACCACGTTAACCAACAATGCCACACCAGAAGTCCACAGAATAAAATAGACTGTCTTAAATAGAGGGAAAAGTTGATGGACTATAAGGTAGCCACAATGGTGGGGTTGGGGTGGGGGCCTAGGGAGGTGGAGGGAGGCGACGGTAGAGCACAGGGTAAGGGCAGACACATCATATTTCGGGTGTTGGGGAGGGCAACACAGGAAGAGTGAGGAGGTGGAAGAACAAGGTAGATAGGAGAATACCGAGATAGGTTTGCATGGGCTAAGTGGGACAGAGGTAAATAGTGATGCATACGTAACCGTGGAACAGCAGTTCTCTGTGATACAGGGATCTAGGCATAGTTTGAAGAGGGGAAATAAATACTAAGATGCTTGATTGTCGTATGAATATTGTTTTCCCTTGTCTACTATTGTAAAATAGACACTTGAGTGGGATAGAAAGGGATGTCAGGAAACGTGATTACAGAAAACTTGTAAGCCCGTCTTCAGCCTATAACTGATTGGAATACCTAAAAGGGTTCTAGAACTTGTCCAGTGAAGCAGGCCTCTTGTGGAGCCTTTGTAGAGTATAGGACCTTAGGTGGAATCCTGAGTCCCATCCAGAACCTTATGAGGTGGGACATTCCCACCAGCAAGGACAAGCTGACCAGCCTGGAACAGCTAGAGCAACAGAAGATACATCTTCAAAGAAAGATCATCAGGAAAAAACAAAACAAAAATGTCAGTATGACAGGCTACTACAAGAATAAGCAAGCTGTTCCCACGGAAGTCAAGGCAAGCAATCAAGTTCCTTCAGGACAAACTCCCCTCTAAGACTGAATCTCAAAGGGAACACATGAGGAGGCATGTAAGCTTGCTGGTGACCACTTTGGTCTACTGATGAGTGGAAGAGGGGGAAAGGCAACAATGAAGACATGGGCCGAGTTCAACCATGGTCCATTGACTCCCACTGGCCTGGAGATGAGAGAGAGAAGAAGGGCTGGTTGGTCCAAAGTGTGGTGAGACCTGGGGACACCTGAGCTCATGGACAAGGACATAGCCACAGAGGGCTAGAGCTGAGAGTGAAGCATCCAGCTGATATGAAGTGTGGGGAGATGCACAAGAACACCCAAACTTGCAGATAGTACCCATTTGACCTAGCCTCAATGGTTTGATAATCAGAACTCGACTAGATGAAGATTACCAAAAAAAAAAAAAAAAAATTTTTTTTGATCAAGGAAACAAGGGTAAATTGCTACAATTTGATGAACCTGACCTATCTATACTCACAGAGGTAGTAACTCTAAATACCAACAGAGAGGGAAGGATTCTTCACATCAAGTACCAATGCTATCCCCTCTGTACACAGAGACAGGCAACGTAGACATTGGCTACCTAAAATAAGGAGGTGATAAAGGCACGAAGTGACTGGCTTACAAGGTTTCAAGAGGAAGTTTAAGAGTGTATGGGGGAAGAGTCCCCACTGAATAGTTGTCATCTTGTCTAAATGGGTCTGGTTAAAAGAGAATGGGGATAAAATTCATATGATTCAGTAGTGAGTAATTGTTACCATGACTAATTGCGACTGTCACAATTGTAAAGGTAGAAGTTTTGTAACAAAAATGGGGGAGCAGTTAATCTTACAGCCCAGAAACAGAGGACCCTAGGACCATCAAGGGAGAAGAGCACAAGTGGAATGCGGGACCTTATCCAGAGAAGCAACGACACCGGAGATGGAGGCAGAGATGCGGACATGGAGAGAGGGAGCAGCTGAGGACTCTAGATTCATGGGAAGAGAGGGACTGAGAGCTGGCGGCCAAGAGGCAGACTTGCAGAATGTGCCCTTTGGTGGTGTAAATTATTATATATGCCTAAGTGGTTTGTTTGTTGTTTTTTTAAGAGCTAAAGGGAATAGAGAGAAATACTGTTAAGTGATGGTACGTGGAGGGGATTGTAATCATTGTGATGAAACAAGTTGTATGATTTGTTGAATGTAAAACTGATGATTTGTCCTGTAAATTTACATACAATCCACAATAAAGACATAAAGGGGTTAAAAAAAAAAAAAGGAGGGGAGAGGGAAGGAAAAGAAGACAGGAAAGAAAGAATACATAATAAAAAATACAATAAATTAAAAATAATAATAATAATCAGTGCATCGTTGAGAGAAGGCCAGTGTGCTGACTGCCCAGACACTTTCCCGGTGTAAATGACCTCAGTCTAGGTAAAGGCATCACAGTCAGCAGGGAAACTCGACTTTCTCAGTTCCCCAGAAATGATGAGCGTTGGGATGCCTTTGTTTCATTATTCACCCAAAGCAGGGAAGAGCAGCTCAGAATGCTGGTCGTGCATTTCCTCCAGAGATCTGTTTATCTGGTGTAGAGACCAGACTTGCTGTGTGTTCTCTGAAATGCACTCACCCGGCTCTCCTCATGGGGAACTAAAGACCAACCAGGGTGCTTTTGTTGAGCATGGAATTAGAGCAAGGTCATAGTTTTCCTGTTTCCAGTGTTTCATGACATCAGGGTAGACTAACTTGCAGTCTTCTCCAAAATTATGATTTGTCCTTGCCCTGGACAAATGAACTTGGGTGCCTCGGCACACCTTCCACTGTGTGCCCGCCGACAGACCGACAGACTGCCAGCCTCGCCTTTCGGACCTCGTGGGATGTGCAGATGCCCCTGCTTGTGCACCTTAGCTCCAGACATCTGGTCTGTTAACCTGCTCTGTGTTGCTTTTGCAGTCCTCATTCAGTTTGTCTCTGGAATGGTGGTACCATCACATCTGCCCACACAGACCCAAATATGCTCTTACCTGAAGACTTTGCATCAGCCTTCACGTGGCTTTTAAAAGCTGGTGCATCATCAGGAGCTTGTTGTTTTGTTTTTAATTAATATTGTCATTTCTCCATTATTTTACCTGCTTCCTAAATCTCTTGGCAAATGGCATATGAAGACAGTTCTGTCACAAAACAAAGACGACTTCTCAGTGACTAGGAAGGAGACGTGGAACATACTAATTTTCCTACAGGCTGGTTCCGCACATCTCTGCCCTCTCATTGGACTCAGTCCAATTCGTTTTAAGTACATAATATTTTTATTACTTGCATATCAATTCTAAATTATTTGATTAGTTAATATGAACAGATGAAATCAAAATTGCTCTCCCCACCCTGAAGAATGTGCTCCAAAAGTAAAACTATAAGCAGTTAACATGTTTAATACTCAGATTCTGTTAATGTATTTTACATAGAAGCTCTTCATCACTATTTGCCTGCCTTTGCTCTTCAAACCTCTCTTCACTCCTCTCCTGTGCCATTTTCCACCAGCGCTCCCCCGTCACAAAATGCTCTGTCAGTCCTCAGCATTGTCTTCATGGCCACGTCTTACTGGACACCGGTAGCTTCAAGAGCTTACGTACTCTGCGCTGGACCCTAAGTGTCCTGTGAAGAGAGGCTGGTGGCACGGAGTCCTTCCTGTCCTGAGGGGGCAACCCAAGCGCACACCCTAGGACAGCAACAATGCCTGTGGTCTCTCCTCAGAGCTGAGAGTTCTTGTCCCTTGGGGGCAATGAGAGATGAAACTGCAGTCAGCTGTTTGAGTGGTTTCATTAAAAAGCAGTTGCTCTAATGTTTAATACAAGATACGTTTCTCCATTTCTCTGGTACCCGTGATTGGGCATGGTAAAAAAAAAATCAAACTGTGAGCCATGCTGGCTGTAGAAGACATCTGAATTTAACAATGGCCTTTTACTATTGCCAAGTACTTAAGGGTCTGCTGTAAATTTTACAGATCCTGAAATACTCGTATGTATCCTCAAATGATTTCTCACTTCCTAATACTTTGTGAAATTTTTTCATTTTAGTAACTTCACATATCAAGAAATAGCAGGTTTCATTCATTCATTCATTCCGTACCTAGAGCGTCTTTGGGTAACTTTAAAGGACAAGAGCATCTTCACCTGGTGAGCTGGTTGTTTGTGGCCGTTTGTGGAGTCCTCTGGGACTTCTGGATGAGAATAGTGTCCTGCCCAATCCTAGTCCCTGGCGGGTGTCTGCTTAAGCTGAGCAGCTGTGTTCGTGGTAGCTGTCAGCATATATGTGGGGTTTGAACAATTACTGCTGGGTTAGTGATACATCTTTAGTGCTTTAGTATGTAAAGATTTTATTTGAGAATATGCAAGGAAATCTTTATGTCATTCTCTTGTTTTATTGTTCTGTTAGCATCTCTGTGAAGTTGCTCTGACTCTTATCTTCCAACAACTTGATTTTTCCAGGCCCCAAATTCTCACCAGCCCGTCTCCTTCGAAATCCATTCCAATTCCACAGCCCTTCCGACCTGCAGATGAAGATCATCGAAATCAATTTGGGCAGCGAGACCGGTCCTCGTCGGCCCCCAATGTTCATATCAACACAATAGAGCCTGTCAACATTGATGTGAGTATCCAGCACCGACACCTCGTACATTTCTCTGCTCACATTTTTTATATTTACGGTCAGAAATAAGCACCATCTTCCACTGATCAGAGTTACTGTGAGTGATACGGGCTTCTCAGGCATCACCCATAGGAAGGCCATGTCAGTATCAAGGCATCAATGCTTAAAACCAAAACGCCAAACCTTCTGCCAGTGAATTGACTCTTACTCAGCGATCCTGTAGGACAGAGTAGAACTGCCCTAGGGTTTCCAAGGTGTCGTCTCTGGAAGCAGACTTCCGCCTCTTTTTTTCCTGCAGAAGAAAAAGTCACTGATAGCTTTGTTTACAGTTGAGTGCATAACCACACACCCCAGGACTTTTCTCACATACTTAAATGATGCTTAATTGCAGGGTCACCATAAAAATCTACCCCATAGATGTAACAGACAAGCCAACGGAAGATTTTATAATAAAGAAAAAATAAGTATGCAATGCATATGTTCACATCTAGATTATTTGAAATCTATCTAAATGTACTGAAAGTTCCATTTTGACTGAATTAATTAATTCTCATAGACTGATCGTCACATTCTTAAAATTTTTTACTACCTTTGCTGTCTTGAGTATATCATTTTGCTCCATCCCGTTGTTGTGGTTAAGTGCCTTTGAGTTGATTCTGACTCCTACAGCCCTGTATAGGGTTTTCAAGGAGCAACTGGTGGGTTTGAACTGACACCTTGTAATTCAAATCAACCTTGTGGTCCAGTGCTTATCCTACAGCTCCACACACTTCTGTAATTTTCTTCTTTTTATGTGAAGTTACTTGTTATGTTTTACTGATTCTTTCTTTACAATGTTTTGTCTTCTCTGTTCCCATCATTGTATATTGTAATCTCATCTCTTTGATTATTTTTGCTCCCTTGTTGTTGTTGTTGTTGTTGTCAGGTGCCATCGAGTCGGAACCGACTCATAGCGACCCCATGCACACAGCAGAAGGAAACAATGTCCAATCCTGGGCCAACCTCACTACCGCTGCCACACTTGAGCCCATCAATGCTGCCACCTGGCCAATCCATCTCGTTAGGGGTCTTCCTCTTTTTCTCTGACCCTCCCTTATAACTGATTATTCTTTGCTAGCTTTTTTAATTTGCCTGTCTTGCACACTGTAATTTTCAAAATGCTATTCTAGATGTGGGAGTCTTGGTGTGGTGGCCTGGGATAATGTGCTGCAAAGTTGGTTTGGATCCACAAGGTTGGTGGTTCAAGCTCACCAGCTGCTCCTCGGAAACACTGTACCAGGGTCGCTATGGGTCAGAACTGACTCCACAGCACCTACAAGATCTAAAAAATTCTAGATTGAGATGTGTAAATTAGAATCACTTCATCAATTAGATCTAAGTCCTAGGTGACAGAAACCATTCCTTTCACAGTTCCCATGCTAAATAAATAAACATCAGAGTGGTTCCAACTCATGGAACTGTGTCTCTCAGAGTAGAACTGTGCTCCCTCGGGTTTTCAATGGCCCCAGGCCCCAGAACATTGCTAGGTCTGTCTTCTGCTGTGTCTTTTGGTTATCAGCCAACCACATTAACCATTTGCCCCCTCTGGGGCTTCAAACACACGCTTGGTGGTGGTAGTGCTATGGAGTCAGTACCAACTCATAGCGACCCTGTATAGGGTTCCCAAGGAGCGGCTGGTGGGTGTAAATCACTGACCTTGCGATTAGCAGTCCACTGTTTAGCCTACAGCACCACACTAGGACTCCAAACACACATTTGTTGTTGTTGTTTAGTGCCGTCAAGTCAATTCCAACTCTTAGCGACCCTGTATAGGGTTTCTGAGGAGCGACTGGTGAGTTTGAACTACTGACCTTGCAGTTCAAACCAACCTTGCAGTCCAGTGCATTATCCCGCAGCACCACACCAGGACTCACCAGATCATTGAAAAGTAGGGACTAGATTCAGTAAGAGGGTTCAAAATCAAGCAGAGGGCATTTCTTAGAGCAGGGTCAGCACAGCGTCTCTCCAAGGGCCAATAGGAAAGACTGGAGGTGGGCAGGGCAGGCCACTGAGTGGGATAGCAGGCAGTTAGGAGATGGTGTGACGTGATCCCAGTACAATTGCTTGTCACCAACTTTGGATACAGACAGAGGACAGGCGAGTCACAGGCTGAGCCGCAGAGGATCAGCCGCACAGCGTTTGCTCCCATGTCACCGAGTAGAGTGGGCGTGGGCCGGGCTCCTCAGTCTACAACCAGAGTTCACTTCTCCCCGAACCTGTGATTTAGAAGAGATTGTTGTTGTTAAGTACTGTCGAGTCGGTTCTGACTCATAGTAACCCTGTATAGGGTTTCCAAGGAACGGCTGAAGGGTTTGAACTGCTGACATTGCGGTCCAGGATTTATCCTACGGCAGTCAGCACACCAGGACTCCAGCAGAATAGAGTGTAGCTTGTCCCAAATGTCTGACTCCTGAAGGCAACAGCCTTAAGAAAGCCCAATTCTTCTTCTGGTCTTGGAAGGTAAGTATATATACAAAGGCAGTTGGAACCCTTTCTCTGAACCAGTAGGGTCCAGAAGTTCGTGAGGTGGCTACGTGTATGTCGAAGACATGGGCGGTTCTCAGTAAACTTGCATCCCTCATGAGCCCTTAGATTGTCCTAACAGGGAGAGACCCACTCCTGAGCAGTCTTTTGACAATTCTCAGACAGCCCTCCCCATTCCATAGCAGCTTGCATTGCTCGCGCTCTTGCATCAGCATCCATTAGTGCAGTGACAACGCAGTGCAGATTCGTTGTAAATCTGATCCTACCCGGAATCAGCCTTGTACAGGCACTACTGAGATCAGACAGGAGTATGGAGAGTCCACCCAGTAGACGCTGGGGAGTCCAGAAGGACGCCGTCTTGGGGGGCCTCCAAGGAGACGCTTGGGGAACAGATGTTGTCCCCTAGAACGTGTGCAAGCATGCTGAAGAAATGAAGATGAAATGAAGCATTTCGTGTGTGTCGTCCTGTTTATCAATGTGACCAACAAAAGCTTGAACCTTTCCATGTTTATGCTGAGAATAGGCATGTCCTTGAGACTATGACTTATCTTTTGTTAAATGTGAAAGAAAAGAAACTATTAAAAAGTTTCCTTTCATCTTCTAAGAGGACGTCCCAAACAGACATCTTTACCCTGTTCACAGTGGTCGTGTCTCTCTGGTTTTTAAGGGTTCATCTAAGGGCCCTTTTCCTCAGCTAGTAAGGCTGGCCTTACTCTAGCCTGCCTGGCTACAAAAGAAGAAAGAAGTAGGAGAGGGAAAGAGGGGACTAAGGAAGTTGTGAAATAACAAATGAAATCCTACTTCCAGGCTAGGTCTGATCTCAGTATGCCCAAACTCATACCCTTCCTCTTTACTTTCAAAGCTAGCATTCTTTGAAGAAAAATTTCCCATTTTTCTATGATTGTTACCACTGCCCTCCTATTCTCTTAGAGCTAAACATGGAGAATGTCAGCTTGTGTCTGCCCCTTTCCTTTTGGTCCCCATCTCACACTTGGCCTTCACTTTCCACTACCACATTTCTTCATTGGAGCCATGGGCTGCTTTCATCCTGCACTTGAATTTCCTGGCATCGGCTTCCCCCCAGTGCGTTTCTATCCTTGATACAGTCGCCAGAGCCATTTTCTCACAGCACCTCTGGCATCATCCCCAGACCTTTTCTGTGCCACCCTAACGATGATGAAATAGGCTGTTCACACCATAAGTTCTCCTTCATGTGCGGATGTTGGAATTCTAGCCAATGGTGGAAGTCTAACAGTCCAGTGACTGGGTCAGACACAGTGACCGTCAGAATTGTGATGGTGGACCCGAGAAGGGGTGCTCTGCTCCACCTGTTTGGACCTAGCAAAGCTTAGCAGTGGGGGACACAGCATTGAAGCCAGGCTGTAAGAGCAGAGTGAGTAGGAATCTGTTAAGTATTCTGGGTCTGGGGTTTAGGAAGGACAGACGGACATTTGTGGAAGGGTGATAGTGTGTGCAAAGGCATGGGAGAGCCTCTACCTGGGATATAGTCAGTGGTTGTCTCTGCAGGTGTTTAGGGGACAGGGGAAGAGTGGGGAGTAATGAGAGCTGGAGCTAGGTGGCCAGAGGCACACTGCTCTGACTTGGCTGAAGAACTTGACATACAAGAGAAAGAGCTCAGGTCTGTGTTTCTGGAAATTCTGGTGGTTATGGAGAATGGAGCCCACACCTGTCAACAGGGTGACTTGTGCGGTGTCCTAGACCATGTGACACTGTGGTGCCCAGAGGGTTGGGAAGTGTACCTGTGTGTGCGCAGAGGAGGAGACGTGGTAGGTAAGATCGTTAGAAATCGTATTTTAAAGCGCTGCTCATTTTGAATGGCTACTATATGCCAGGCCTCCTAGTGTGGTGCTGTAGGATAAGCACTGGACTGCTAACCATAAGGTTGGCAGTTCACACCCACCAGCTGCTCCTTGGAGATCCTTTGAATCACTGTGAGTCGGCACCGACTTGCACTCTCTTAACAACTCTCCTAACAACTGTATGCCAGATACTACGCAAAGGGCTTTGTATAAATTTCTTAGTCTGTCTTCACGAAAGCCACATGGGTTTACTGTAAAGAAAATAAAGTTCAATCCCAGCCTTCCTTTCTGCCACTCAGCCACTGTACCTTGCAGGAGAAGTGGGGAGGTGCCTGAGAGAAGAGGTCATGGAGGACTCCCGGATTCAGTAAGGCAGGAACTCCAAAGGTAGAAGCAGTCTTGATGACTCTTCCTTGTGGACTTGAAGCTGCCTGAGGGACTCAGGAGCCAGAGGAGGAAAAGGACAGTAGAGGGCTGACAGTGTTGCTGTCAGTTGCTGTCGAGACTCACACCAGATGACGACTGAAGGTGGCTCTTGGATCTGGCCATCACGGTGTAACTTCAAGGGTCCTGGGATCTGTGTGAAGGCTTGGGGAGGAACGCAGGCAGGTGGGGATCAAAGTCAGTTCTGAGAAGCTTGGCTCGAGAGAAATGACTTCCAGCATGGTGGCAGAAAGACTGCTCGTAATGTTTGTCACTAGAGAAGCAGAGAGGTTGGACGATAGCGAGCGAGGAATCCTTGAACTGGAAGCGGTGTCCCTCCATGGCTTAGCTGTAAGTTCTAGACAGCAAGCACTGTAGCTCGTGACAGGGCGTGACCTTGGGCAAGCTCCTTAACTTTGCACACACTCCTGTCTCCCTCTGAGAGTATGGATCATGCCTGGAACATGCTAAGAGCTCAAAGACCACAGCAGTTTTGAGTATGTAGATGCCTGTTAGGAGTAGGAGCAGGACAAGAAGTTCTTCTCCATCATACTAAGGGGGTGGAGGAAAGTGTGCAGAGTCGGTGTTGGGACACTCAAGGATCCTGGTCATCCTGTACCATGTAGGAAAGGTGGTCAGGGTGCCGTGCAAACGTGTTGAGGACTGAGAAGTGTCAGCCGGCGGCGGTGCCAGCAGGCCAGGCGGGTGTCAGAGGAAGCTAGGAGCAGCACTGGGTTCAGGCCTGCTTGTGGGGGTGCAGGTCTGAGCCTCAGAGGGAGGGGTATGGCATTTCTGCCTTTCCTCTGCTTTCCTTTCTCCACATCTTCCATCCCTCTGCCCCAGATCGTAGCCCACCCCGTCCCCCACTTCCCGATGACCAAGCCCTGTCTTTATTCATTGATCCACCCTTAGAGTTTGTTTGACAGTGAATTCAGTAACCACCTTTGACATTCTCTAAACTGTCTCATTTGAACCCTAACCATGTGTACATCTTATCTCCAATTACATCATAAGCACGAACAGATCATGCTGTTGAGAACACCAGGATTTTTTTTTTTTTTGGTTAACACCCAGTCCCTAGCCCCTAGCACCTTGTTTGCAGGCATCTAATGAGTATTTTGTTCATTCGTGTCCAGAAAACACTGAAGGTGTTAATGTAGTGCACCGAACATGCTGGAAATACATCCAGCTCTGTTTTTACCATTTTCACAGAGCTACTGAGCGACCTTAGGGGCCATTGAATCCCTCATATTTCAGTAAAACAGATCCTCCCCACCGCTAGTGTGTCTTATGCAGCCACAGTTTTGTGACTGTAACCAGTGTGCATTTAATACTGTGTTCTGGTGTTTATTGTAAACATGCTTCAAGCCTCGTAGTTGTTTTCAGTAGCTTCAAGCAGTTGAGATGCCATGACTGACTCACTGCGGCCACAAGAGGGCGGTCGTGACTTCTGATCGAGTGCTGTGGGCACTAGTGCTGTTTAGGATAGCTTTGTGCATACCATTTTTCCTTTTAAATCATTTCACACAGGAAAATTCCCAGAAGTGAGATTACAGGATCCCAGGGAACATGAACATTTTCACATTTTCATGGGTCCTGATAGGGCACAGTGGAGTCCTGGTGTGGCACTGTAGGACAAGCACTGGACTGCTAACCACAAGGTCAGTGGTTTAAACCCACCAGCTGCTCCTCAGCTCCGGGGTCTCTGTGAATCAGAACTGACCAGATAGCACAACAACAAACAATATGGCAAAGGTGAGTTTCTGCTGAAGAATGGAGGCAGCTATTGGTTTTGAATGCCCTGAAATAAATGGCATTCTTTGAGCAGAACTATTAACCTCTTTCAATGGAGAAAAGATTGAAGTTGTCAAGGACTTCATTCTTCTTGGATCAACTATCAACACTCACGGAAGTAGCAGTCAAGATATCAGACGATGTATTGCACTGGGCAAATGTGCTGCACAGGAACTTTTTAAAGTATTGAAGAGCAGAGATGTCAGCTTGAGGACTAGGGTGTGCCTGACCCAGGCCATGGTGTTTTCAGTAGCCTCATATGGATGCGAAAGCTGGACAGTGAATAAGGAAGATCGTAGAAGAATTGA